GATCTTGATTACGTGAATTTCATGATCTATTTAAGTAACGTGAGTTTGTTTACTTCTCGCACACAAAAAATGTCAGCGAAATTTTTTGAAAAACTTTCAAATAACTACCTTGAGCTTCTCGACGATAATGAAGATTTTAACGTGGTCATAAAAGTTGGTGAATCTTCTGATCCCAAGATATTTCAAGCTCATTCAGCTGTTCTGAGATATAGGTCTTCATATTTTCGTAAAGAATTATCAAACATTAGTAAAGATGAAAATAACATTAAAACGATTAATGTCTCTATTCAACAGTTCGATATTATTATCAAGTAAGTTATCTAATACTTTGAATACTTTACTATGTCTTTCTTTTTCTTTTAAAAATAATAATAATTAACGATATTAGTAATATAAAGGTATATCTACGGAGGCATGGTTTTATTAGAAAACTTTGAATTATCATTCATTTTTGAGCTTATGTTTGTTGCTTGCAAGTTTCATTTGGAAGAATTAGTTAAATATCTCGAAGATTATATTATTAAAGAAGCTCACTGGATTCGTTTGCATTTTTTTCTCGTTTGTCGAAAATGCTTCCAAAATAATATGCTTCAAGAATTACAAAATTGGTGTAATAACATTGTGGCAAAATATCCAAATACTATTTTTGATTCTGATGTTTTTATATTATTTCAAGAAGATATATTAATCTCATTAATTAAACGTGATGATTTACAAATGAAAGAAGTAAAAATTTGGAATTACGTCATCGATTGGGGAATTGCTCAAAATCCTGATTTACCATCCGATCCTAAAGATTGGTCTAACGAAAATTTTATGACCTTAAAGACTACTTTAAAAAATTGTTTACCCATATTCGTTACTTTCAAATCTCTGGTGATGATATTTACAAATACGTAAAACCATATAAACAAATACTTGAAAAAGCCCTTTGGAATGACATAAAAATTCGATTAATGGCTTTAAAACAACCATTAAAATCAACGGTCCTTCCATCCCGTATTATTTCTGCACATGCATTACCAGATAGATCTGTGGGTCCATTTTCAAAAGTAATTAGTGAAGCACACGCTGCTGAAATTTCTTCATGGATCGATAATAAAAATTCTATATATTCAATAGAAAATAATCCATATGAATTCCAATTACTTCTTCATCATTTTGGAAATTATGTAATAGGAGGACAAACATTGTCGTAGTAACAAAGGTTAATGGCACTGATGAAATTCTTGGAGGATATAACCCTATTGGATGGGAATATAGTGATACTATTTATCAAAAGGATTGCAATGGGTGCTTTATTTTTTCGTTAAAAAATAAATCTATTAAAGAGTCTATTCTAAGTCGTGTAAAATATACAAAAAACGCAATTTGTGATGGTCATGATGCTTTCGGATTTACCAATGGTTTTATTATAAAAGATCATGAGTGTTGTTGTGCCTATATAGAAAGGAATGCCAAATATGAAAAAAATTAGAGATGTATCTAAATATAATGTAAAGGGGTTTTCAAATTTTTTGGTAGATGAATATGAAATATTCCAAATTCATCAAAAACATGTAATTAGCCATTGTTAAATAGTAAATTCAAGATTAATTTTTAAAAGGACTTAACAATTAGCACTATTGTTTATGGGATCGTTTATCAATAAACTAGCAAAGACTTTATAAAATTTCCTTTCGATTTAAATAAGCTATTAAAATTAGTCAAAATTATATTTAGTATTGAATAGTCTATTTATGATTGAGTAAATACGAAATAAAAATCGTTATTAAAACTAATCATTATAATAGTCTCTTATTTTTAATAGTATGATTTAAAAATATTAAAATTGAAACTCAAAATTTCTGATCTAGAAATTATATCATATAACGCCTGCTATCATCGAGTATAATTATATAGAAATTTTCAATATTAATTATAAACATGACTTACGGCCATTGATCATGAACATCAGATTCCCATATTGATAATTTGCAATAGCAATTATAGAAGTAATTATTGAAAGACAAACTGCTAAATGCATTTACAAATTTTTAGAATAGAAAAATAATTCTTAACATAAATTAGGAAATGAAATGGAAATGTTTAAAGACTCTCATTTGACGAAAATACGTAAAATTTCCCTTCCATTTGGCACAGGTGGCGTGACGAATAACTCTATGCGACGAATAACGATTAACTAACACAATTAATTAGTAAATGCTTATTAATCAAATGAATGATTCGTCACGCCTCTGTGCCAAATGGATGGGGTCACCTATAATTGACTAAATTCAACTTTCACAGGCCGTTAATTCAAATCTACCGGAAAATGAAATAAAAATTGATGCAATCTTATTTGAAAACAAATACAAAGATATAAAAATATGAACGAGATGAATTAAAAACAGTCGGAACAATGAGATTATATAGTAAGATAGTAAGAGTACGGTTATAAGTAGTGACTTGAATCGGTTGAGCTATAATCGGTTAACCGACCCGAACCGAGGAAATTCTTAACCAGTTGACCCGATACAACTGGTTGGCGGAACTAATATGGTATGAGAAAATGTCAAAATGACGTAGAGTTCCGAAAAGTTCCGACAAAAATTAGAGCAAGGCTCTGAGAATTTCCGAAGTTGTAGATATTAATCTTAACCGGTTGGTAATCGGCTGAATGAGATAATTCGGTTCGGTTAACCGATTAAGAAAATTTTTTCTGGTTCAAATCACTAGTTATAAGTCATACTTATATTAGAATAATAAGCTGATTTGGAGTGTACTGTATTATAGTAAATGATTTAAAGAAGCAGTTTACTACAATTTTGAATAACCGATTTTTTTCAAACCATTTGGTTTGGTTCTTATGAGTGTTCTGATAATTTCGAACACACTTAATTCTGGATGCTTTTTTTTCGCAAAATAAAAAAGTTAAAACAAGAATTTTTCTACAGTAAGACTATTTAATTAGCATAGAAATATTAATCATTTATTCGATTCCACTTATTAATCGTTTTTATTATAATAAATATATGAGCAGCTTCACTTAATTAACTTCCCTAGATTAACATGTTAAGAGAACTTTATATTTTATAAATTTTTTCATACACTATTACTAATTATTGATGAGCGATTCCACAAATACTTAACGCTAATCGTTAAGTGCTTTATATATTATATTGGATTTAAATTTATTTTAATAAAAAAAAAAAACTAATTGTGAAATAGTGAAATTTGTAATAAATATAAACTATTTAGCAATAGAAATTTATGATGCTTTTTGATATCTCATTCATCGACCAACATGAGGATTGCCCAACTGGAGGTAATCACATGGTTTTATTTACGTACATATGTACGTACGTACGTTGAAAAAGTGTAAATCGATTCGGACTTGGGAAATTCGTTTAATACGGATATCAGCTAACACTAAACTAATCCAAATCAACACTACAACGGCTAAACTCTATCCGATCCCTAATGTTGGAAGGCAGAAAGAGGCGTGGAGAGACTTGGTCCGAGTTATTAGGGCCAAATAGAGCTCAAGACTATGTCACGAGGCTCTAATTCGGGATCACGGGATTCAAAATAGTTTATCGGGAATTAGGAGAATGAACTTTTATGAGTTTATGCGTAAAACGATAACTAACTTTATTCAAGGAGAGAACTCCTCTTTTATATATTTAATTTTACATATAATGGAATTCTTCGAATCTAAACTATTCTAATTATCTTTTTCATAACAAGAATAATTATTATTCTCGTTATCTGGTAGATTCTAGGAATCTAGTGAATTCCCGGAATTCTTACAACTTGTACCATCTACAGCTACAAATTTGGAAATGTCAAGGGCAACAATGTAAAAATAGAACTAATAGGGTCAATCTTGCCCCTCACAACGTACGTACGTACGTCAAAATTTTCACATATCTATTATTTAAAATTTTATTAGACCTCCCACTTTATAAGATAAAATAAAAGCGTGCCACATGCTGGATGTTTATAACTCACATTTCATGAAACTCTTTCATAATGTTTCGAAAAATTTTATCTAATGTATACTAAAAAAGGAACCTGCACGTGACACTTATAAAGATTATTCACAATCGACACACACAGGTTTCTTTAATGATGCAAATTCAAAGGTTCTTAATGGCCAATATTACATAATTGGTTTTTGAGACAGTGCTATAGAGACATAACGGCCCGAAGTTCGATTGCAAAGCATACCTCGCGGCTACATATTTTGCTTTTTGTTTAGGCCACATGAAGTATTCCACGCTATGACAGTAGAGTGTGCCGTGTGACTTGACTTTCTGAAGTCATCATAACCAATTTTAATGGAGGTTTTACTTTAAAAAAAAAAATTTATTAGAGCTTAATTTTCTTTCAAATTTTAGCTTAAAAATTTGTACACTAAAATATACGGTTTAAATGATGCGTTTGAATGTGGAATACTATATAATTCAAAACTATATGATAAAATTTATTTTTATTAATAAAAGATTTTTTAGTAATTATTAAATAGACGTATAGCCCTAACGATTTAATAGTTTTAGATAAAATTTGTAAAGACTAATATTACGTTTTTATAAACAGATCTATTGAGACATTTCTTTAAAAAAGAAAGTAAAATTAGGTTCTATCTTGTTTTCCTTTTCTTTAAGAAAAAAAAAAGCATAGTATATTAAAATTTTTCATAATTAATTAAAAGAAATGGCTCTACAGTTTTGTTCGTAGAGTAATACTAGAGATAAAGTTATTGCTTATCATTATCTAAAAAATCTCTGTTAATAAATTTTATTATATGACCACTTATAATTTTGATTTATTTCATTTTATGATTTTGGAATTTCAAACGAACTAAATTAATTCTTAATCACCAAGTTGGGATTTTAATTTAGTTTTTTTTAATAAAAATAGAAGAACTCAATTCTCAGCACGTAGGAACAATATACTATTTTTTTTACATAATATACCGCACACCCCAATGAGGAGGCGTGCCCATATTTTGGGCCCTACAATGCAAAATCCAAATTTTTCACTCTAATAACTCTATCCTTAAAAATTTTAGCCCCCAACACTTTAACACTAAAAAATTCTCTATATTAAAAAAAAAATTCAACTTCTAAGTAAAAAAAAAGATTTCTTCTTTAAGATTTAAGAATGCGATAGGCTAACGGAGGTAACACGGTGTTATAATCAATTCATTAGTGTAAATCGGCCTTTACTTTTTTGGGAGTGTTAGTTGGGATGGAAATATAGGTTTCCTAATATAGTTACCGATATTAGGTATTATTCCTAAAATTGGTCTTTAGCCCGATAGATCTCATGGGAGGATGTAGATCGTTATACTATTCGAGGTCTTTCTTCTACTCTGATCTTAGAGTAAGAAATTGGATGCTCTTTGACCTCTTCCAAATAATGAGAAACTCTCATAATTGTCTTCGTCCATAAATTACACTGAAATGAACTAAATAATAAGTTAATGGAATAGTAGATCGTATATATATTCAATATAAATATAAATTTTAAAATTGAAAACGTCTTTATCATTATATATTAAGAATTTCATTGTCAAATATAATAATCGTGTACTTCGAAATTTTTTCAATATACAATCAAGTTTGATTTTTGTCTACAATCTCAAAATGCCAGCCATAATTAAGGAGACTCTTTACGTTAAGCCAACTAGGCCAACGAAGCATGTTCAGATTCCACTTTCTAATTGTGACATTCTCTCGCCACCAATATATACTGGGTTTGTTTATTTTTTTAAAAATGGGTCAAAAAAAGATAATTTTATGAACATTAAAAAACTTTTAGAATCACTTGGAGATGTTTTAAATGATTATTATCCTCTGGCTGGTACACTTAAAAGTACGCCCGATGGTAGAATTATCATTGACTGTAATGATCAAGGTGTTCAATTTGTCATTTCTGAATGTTCTGACATTACAATCAATCAACTTGAAGAAAAGAATTGGGAGCATGCAGTTACTCCTTACGGATTAATGCCAACAACAATGCCTGATAAAACTGATCCAATTATATCTATAATACATCACACTACTTTTGCTGATGGATCTGTTTCCCTTGGGTTTGGTATACATCATTATGTTATAGATGGTATTGGTCTCTTTACTTTTATTGAAAATTGGGGACGAAGAGCTCGTTCAGAACAGATTGACCCACCTATCCATGATCGAAGTTTGTTAAAATCAAGTGGTAACCTTCCAACATATGTTCCTTACGAATATTTTGTAAAGAAACCGACAGAAATTACCATTTCAGACATACAAACGCCTTCTGTAACTACCAAAATTTTTAGCCTTAGCCAAGATGTTCTTAAGAGGTTACGTGATTATTATTCTGTTGGTATTTCTGATGAGAATTGGATTTCAACAAATGACGCACTTGTAACTCACTTTTGGAGAACAACTATTAGAGCTCGAAATATTGATTTAAATACTGAAGTAATCTGTAGCTTTCCTCTTAATGGACGTGATATATTAAATCCACCTATTCCCAAAAGTTATTATGGAAATGTTGTTTTGTAAATATATTTGACTTGTTTATTATTATAATGTTGTTTTTTTTTTCTTTACGCTTAAAATAACTTTAATATTATATTATTTATGCTTAGTCAAGTATGTCCAAAAATGCTTGTCTCTCAATTAATTGACGGTTCACCATCTTCAGTAGCACTTCAAGTTCGAAAGGCCATTAAAGATATGAATGATAGTCGTATTCGATCCATAATTGATTGGGTTGAACAGCAACCAGATAAATCATTGATTTCAGCAAGTGTTGTATGTAATGGTGAAGATTTTGGAATAGCCAATTGGTCAAAATTTCAAAAACATAATTTAATAGATTTTGGTGATGGATCTCCTATAAAACAGAGATGTATGCCGGAATATGCAGTTGATGGATTATATATGATACTTGGTGTTGAGAATGGGGTAGAAGTTTACGTTAGTTTACAGACTGAAAAATTAAAAATCTTGGAACAGGATCCTGAGTTTAAGAAATTTATTGTTCCATAATGTAGCTTAGAATCTATACAATTTTTTTTATTTGATTTTTTTTTATAAAAAACTAAAGAATTAACAAAGGTCTATCTATACCATTGAGCATGCATTAAATATACATATATAAAAAAAAAATCGTATACTATTATAAAAAGTTTTTTTAAAGTATATACGAGTTACAGTATTGGACAAAACCTAAAAGTTTCATTAATGATGAAGCCTTTAGTCTTTGTCTTTTGTCAAAAAGTTTTAAAAAAGACAAATTGACAAAAGACAAAAAAACTGATAAAAAAGGTAACAAAATTAATAAAGAATAAAATTAATAAAACTAAGCGAAGTTATCTTGACATATACCTAATTAGGTTCAAAGAATTTTTCGAGATATTTTTGCTCAAAACTCTGCTACAGTTTTGGTATTATCTAAGAAAATTTTTTATTTAAATTCTACTCGATTATAGAATCCAAATAAAGAAAAATTCTTTATACTGTTATATGGTTCTAAGATAGCTTCGACTAAGTTTGTAAATTTGGTCAGAGATGTTTTGATAAACGGTTTAAATTTAGGCAAAGATATTTCGGCAACTACATACCCAATGAATTTTATTTGGAAACTATATTTATAACACCATGTTATATAACGCCTTATGCTATATCTCAAAAGCGTACTAAGTAAACACGATCGAGTACTCTAAATAAAATATTATATTACATAAAAACCTCTATTTATCTTAAGCTGCACCCTAACTCCAACTCAGACCAGTGTTTCGGCCTAAACCTGATTTTGCGGATCATTTGCAGATCAAATTGGGCGAAACTAGTTTCGGAGGGTTTCGGACTTATAGGGAGAAACTAAAATTCCTCTGGGCGAAACGTTTTGGACTTTGGGGTAGGTTTAGGCCGAAACACTGACTCAGACTATATAGTATTACATAACGCCGGGTGATGTGAAATCACGTGATCGAAAGAGGAGCCAGCACAGGTCAGAAGCAGAGAATGTGAGAATAAGGAGCTAACGGCTAAAGAATGAATCCAAGTGTGGGAAGATCAGAACGAATGCGGACGACAATGAGGAACTGCATATGTTTGGCTAAAGAGTCAAGCACCACAGGTAAGTATAAATAACGAACAAAGAGAACCAAGTTCCCTTAGCTGTAAGTCGCCAAAGCAAAGGTTCTCGCTATCCATCCCACCCAAGAACCTCGGGCAGGGACCCGGAAAAGCTCATAATATATATGTATGAATAAATTGGAATTTTTGGCACAAAAAGGTATAAAAAGGGATTTTAGAGCCGAGTATTATCGCATGATTTATATTGATTTTGATTGGTTAAAAGTCATGTGATGATGATTATTGTGATGATTTTAAAATCTAATGCTAATATTCACTTCCTAGTTTCTACTCTCTAACACTCAATATATACATTTCTGTTGGTATTATTACATCTCAAAAGATACATACCACACACGAACTTCGAAATTAGAAGTCCATTCTTCTTATTATATAAATTTTTACTACACCCCAAAAACTAGGCAGTTATAAATTAAAGATCTTAAATTCTAGAGTTTGAACAGAATCGGCAGCAATAATTTTATCGGCAAATATACTGTATACCATTATTTAAATGATTATAAATGAACTCAATAAATATATCTTACAACCGGCTTTCTTCGGCAGGCGGGGAATGGGGTAGTTTCAAGAAGAGTGAACCCAGTGATATCTTCGTGATAAACACATTACAGGATTAAACACTCGGCCTAAGTTAGGGTTAGTGTTAAGGTTAGGTGATAGTATTTTTTAGGCCAAATTCGTTAGTGCTAGTAAACAAATAACGTCATTCCATGATTTCACATAATGTGATGATCACTGGGTTCATTCCTCTTTAAGTGCCCCGGGGAATGGCCCACCGGCTAATCCTACGGTGCAATTACGTTTGCTTCTTCGCGGGATGTCTCACCATTCTGGCCATCTCGGCCAATTACTCAATTTACTATCATGTATTCTGCCAAATTTCAATAAATATCCAATATCACTTCCGGCAAAAGTTAATGTCCAAATAATACAGTGCATGTCGGGTGATGCGAATGCTTTTCGACCCGGTTGCAAAACTTTCATTTTTGATACTTCTGACCAACTTTTTTGATAATTATCGATGTGCAGATCCCATTAAAAATAAGAATTTTCAAAAGATTTTTCAACAACCATCTGACCAAATTTGATAAAACATTTTTATTTGAATTCTATGAATCCATAGAATTTAAATAAACAAGTTTTATCAAATTTGGACAGATGGTTTTCGAGATATTTTTGCCCAAGTTAAAGAAAATCAAACTGCATATCAAGATAGAAGCTACGCCAAATTTTTCTCTAACTTATCTTGACAACCATCTGACCATATTCGATAAGACTTTTTTTATTTGAATTCTATCGAATTTGGTCAGATGGTTATCAAGATATCTTTGCTCAAATTTAAGGCCACGTAAAGTTAATTTTTCGTAATAGAAGCTAGCCAAATTACTTCTCCTCTAACTTTGAGCGAAGATATCTCGACAACCATCTGATCAAATTCGAATTCTATGAATCAATAGAATTCAAATAAAAAAAATGGTTTATCGAATTTAATCAGATGATTGTCGAGATATCTTAGCTCAAATTAGAGAAAAAATTTGGCACAGCTTTATTTTGATAGGCGTTTTGATTTTTCTCTAATTCTAAGCGAAGATATCTCAATAATCGCTTGACTAAATTCAGTGGAAATTTTTTTATTTGAATTTTATGATCGGTAGAATTCAAATAAAAAACGTTTTATCGAATTTGGCCAGATGGCTGTTGAGATATCTTCGCTCGAAGTTTTAAAAATACTTATTTTTACTGGGATCTTCATGATCAGTATCAAAAAAAGTAGGCAAAAATGAAGTTTTGCAGTCACCCAACATGTGACTTAGTTCGTGTAACATGACGCAAACTTCGAGAGTAACCAATCGGACGAGGTACAACGATTTGAAAAGTCACCAATGGAATTGCAGATAAGATTATAAAAATTTTATAAAAAAAGCTTGAAGTTTTTCAATCAGAACTACGTAGATGAGAAAACTGCGATTCCAACGGTGGTACAATCATCAAAATCGGCTCAGTGGGTCACGAGATATGAGTAAAGTTACTTGGAAAATTTTCTAAAAAGTGTAATCTTCTCTACAATCATTCTTAGACGTTTACACAAGGTTTGCATAATATAAAACGTTCTTTTTTATAAAATTTATTATAATCTTATCTAAATTCCATTGGTTGATTCTAAGTGTGCGGTTGGCTACTCTAGAAGTTCGTGTTACGTGATACGAACTTAGGGTGACTCTAACCGGGTGCTTATCAAAATATTAAAGATATTATAGTCGCAGCAAAATTTTCTAAATATTGAGCGAAGATATCTTGGTGACTACATAACCAAGATGTTAAAATTTTCATGATTTGAATTCTACTATTATATAGAATCAAAATAAAAAAATTCTCATTGAATTTTATTAGGTGTTTATCAGTATATATTCGCTCAAAAGATTAATTTTTTATTAATGCTAATATGTAGTGAATTTGGGTTGTTTTGATTTTCACGTTACACCTGATCTCGAAATCTGATTGGATGCCATCGCGTAGATTATTTATTTAAATAATTTATTTAAATAATGTGAGTTTGTTTACCTCTCGCACAAAAATGATAGCAAATTTCTTTGATAAACTTTCAAATAATTATCTTGAGCTTCTTGACGATAATGAAGATTTTAACGTGATCATAATAGTTGGCGAATATTATGATACCAAGATATTTAAAGCACATTCAACCGTTCTGAGATATAGATCTTCATATTTTCGTAATGCATTAGTAAACGTCAGTAAAGATAAAAATAACATTAAAACGATTAGTTTAAAGCATATATCTATTCAACAATTTGATATTATTATCAAGTAAGTTATCAAATGCTTCGGTTGTTACATCTTTTTTTAAATAATTAACATAATAGTAAATTTATACTATATAAAGGTATATTTACGGAGGCATAGTTTCATTGGAAAGTCTTGATGCATCATCTATTTTTGAGCTTATGCTTGTTGCTTCCGATTTTCTTCTTGAAGAATTAGTGAAATATCTTGAGACTTATCTTATTAAAGAAACTCACTGGCTTCATTTGCATTTCATTCTCGTTTACCAAAAATGTTTCCAAAATGGCATGCTTCAAGAATTACAAAGCTGGTGCAACGATATTGTGGCAAAATATCCAAATACGATTTTTGATTCAGAAGATTTTACATCGTTTCAAGAAGATACATTAATCTCATTGATTGTGCGTGATGATTTGCAAATGGAAGAAGTAAAACTTTGGAATTATGTCATTAAATGGGGAATTGCTCAAAATCCTTACCTACCACCAGATCCTAAAGAATGGTCCAATGAAAATTTTATGATCTTAAGAACTACTTTACAAAATTGCTTGCCCCATATTCGTTATTTTCAAATCTCTGGTGATGATATTTACAATTACGTAAAACCATATAAACAAATACTTGAAAAAGCCCTTTGGAATGACATAAAAATTCGATTAATGGCTCTAAATCAACCAGTAACATCAATGGTCCTTCCACCTCGTGTTATTTTATCACAAAAACTGCCAAACCGATCTACAGAAGATTTTTCAAAAGTCATTAGCGAAGCACATGCAGCTGAAATTGCTTCATGGGTTGATAGCAACAATGATATATATTCAATATCAGATAATCCATATGAATTTAAATTACTTCTTCGTGGAAGCAGAGATGGTTTCACCGCTAAATCATTTTGGGATCTATGTAATAAAAAAACAAACATTATTGTAGTAATAAAAGTTAAAGATACTGATGAAATTCTTGGTGGATATAATCCTATTGGTTGGGAATATAGCGGTAATTATAAGAAGAAGTATTGCAATGATTGCTTTATTTTTTCATTAAAAAATGTATCTATTAAAAAGTCTATTTTAAGTCGTAAACAAGGTTTAGATAACGCAATTTATAACGATCGCGGTCGCTTAGGATTTTATTACGGTCTTGGTATAGGTGAAAATAATTGGCATTGTAGTGATAGAATATTTTCTAATATGCTTAACTATAGAAAAATTAGAGATTCATCTACATACATTTCGAATGCTATTGCTGTTTTTTCATATTTTTCGGTGGATGAATATGAAATATTCCAAATTCATAAAAAAGTATAATTATCTATTAAAAAACTTTATATATTATAAATTTCATTATGTAGGTTGAATCAAAAGTTTTATCGCATTATTAATATATACAGTAGTTTTAATATATATATATATGAATTATATGATAGTTATAATATATTTAAAAAAAAATTTTGAATAAATTTTAATCAAATATTTTTTAAGAAATTATTTTTTAAAGTTGCTAAGTAAAAAGCAATTGAAATTTTAATAATAAAGAAATTTAAAGATATGAATTTTTAATTCATAGATAGAACTGTAAAAATACATAGTGATTAGCAATAGGTGTTTGTGGATTGCAATCTATAAATTAGCGGTTCAAAATCACGTTAAAGCCAATATTTGTATTAGAATAAATGAACAAGTTTAGAGCATATGATAGTAAATTGAACAAGAACTGTTAAATATAGCATAGTACTACAAATGTTAATTAGAGATATTTTTTTCAAATCACCGGCTTTAGTTTTGATAATAGTTATGTTATCATAAGAGTATGGACAGATTGAGTCGATTAACAATTATAGATTAGTATGTTTTAAGGACTTTATTTTTTAAATTATAAAATTTCATCTTGACAAATAAGGTTTCTATTCAATTCTAATCATAAGCCTTAAGAGCTCACCAGATTTCTGTTATCTTTGAATACGATAACCATACTCTTGTATATAAAATAATCATTTGCATTTCGCGTGGTTATTGCAAAAATTTCTTTGAATATTTGCATAAGTTATTTAATTAAATTTACTCCGGTTTAACATCTAAAAATGAGAATATATCCATAAGGCCAGACCAATTCGATTCTTTGTTTTATATTGCCCCCCTCCTTCCTCCATAATAAAAAAAAATTTTCTAGTAAAAATAATTATAAAGCTGGTAACCGGAACAAACCTATAATACGAGCGTGATCGCGCAAAAATTTGGATAAAAGGTCTGGGGAGAAATTTTGCTTTAGAAAATAGGGCAAAAAATTTTCTATATTTATAATACGTTCAACCCCACTCCATCCCCGAGGTAATGTAAAACAGTGAAATAAATTGGTCATGCCTAATAATGATTTTCTTTAATATTAATCGGCATACGTTGGTTTCAAATTTATCCGACATAATCATTGGATAATTTTTGTGTACCCTATTTGGTTATCTCACTCACCTCTTACGATGTCGGATAACTTAGTATTAGTAATTGATACCTTATCTTTTCATAGTAGACATCCTAGTGAATAATCAGTTATAATTCACGTCACAACAAATAACTATTACTTAATATAATAGACATTATTAAGAAATACATCTCTATTACAAAATAACTAATAAATTAATTTAAAAATGTGCCCTCGAGCAGCGATATTAATTTGTTGTTCATACATATTTATTCAAGATACGAAAAATACCAAAAATATCAGAAATAAAAGTATAATTATGATTAAATAACATTCAATGTTCAAAAATATCAAACAAGAGTATTTGGTGCAATACCCTTCATTTCGTCATGAGCACATTTTTCACGCTTAATATCAGCAAATCCCGCATAACCACCAATTGAGGGCGCAGTCACATGATAATCCGACCTCCTAATCTCATTTTATTTTGAGGCACCCATTGCTATGCAATGTAAACAGTTAGCCCTCTTTATAACGAACCTTTTTATAATAACCGCTCTATAATGAACCTTTTTTGAAATTTATTAGGGTTCAGTATAGGAACATAGTAAATTACTTCCACGAGAAATGTTTAAAAACCTTTACTATAATAATTGTCTGTTCATTATACTGTATTCGTATGTATTTTTCATTTGTTTGTTATTCAACAAAAAATAAAAGTGTCCTCAAGTAGAAATACGAAAAACAATTATAATCACTCACATTGTTGTGAAGTTCTCATGCCGAAAAAATTTTCACTACAATTTATATCAAAAGAATACTGGATATACTTTAATAATTTTGTACTAAGAGTTCACTATAACAATAGTGAGCTGTATTTATAAAGACTGGTTATTGTATAGATATGTGTGTGTAAGTAATTAATTACACACGGGTTAATATTTAAATCACGTGGTTAAATATGAATCCATGTGCACTAACTTACATACACTTATCCATATAATAATTTCCATTATTTAACTCGTGTGTATATTTTAGAGCTTTATTTATGTTAATTTGGTAATAAATCCTGGAAATAACGACTGTAAAAATTTAAATCTATATTATTGAGTTTGGAATTTGTAAGTTTTATATGATCGATGATTTGTAAAATTTTAATTCGAGTTTTACAAAATCCGTTCGCGATTATTATTTAATCAAGTTTATCTTTAACATATGTATAACCAGTGTTGTCACATAGATCTTTGGCCAAAATGGCCAAAGGTTATATAATAAAAACTAGTAATATGATTGGCTAATATTACAAAATTATGGCCCCAAAAAATTAGGCCGCAAAAATTGCCAACATTGCGTATAACTAACTAGTTTTATTTTTAAAAAACAATTACAAAATCTTTCCCTTCCCCAAAAAAATTAATATTCAAAAAATAATAATAATAACTAAATAAATGAAAAAAAAGATTGATAATAACGTTTGAAAAAAAAACTTGAAAAATTTAAATTTTCGGAGGATTGTAAAGTCGGAATATCATGTGATTGCGCCCTCGATTGGTGGTTACGCTGGGACTTTATTTTTTTCACGCGCTTAATATCCTGTGTTGTAAAAAAAAAAATACCATACGATCAAAATAATTATTGTTAAGACCTTTCTTTAGTCATAAAGAGGGTATGAAAACAGAATAGAAGTTTTATAAGAAATTGATTGGAAATTTTTAAATTTACTTTTAATGGATTAAAGTTGATACATACCTTTTGTTCAATATTTTATAGTTTCCCATTTCCTCTCTACACCAATTAATTTTTTCATGTTCTTTAATTAGTAATTTCTCTTTTTCTTTTAAAACTTTCGAAACTTCTTCCAAATTTTCAATCGTTTTTTTCCATATCTTTCAAGGAAGTACGGCTTTCAACTTCTTTATAATCTCGATAAATCCAATAAAAATTCATAAGAGGCAGCACAAGTTTCAAACAAGCCTCCATAGCGGCTCTTGTCACCTTGTGACTAGTAAAATGTTCAACTTCTAAACTAATATAAGTATCAACGTCAAAACTCATATCAGCATTAACTTCAAAAATTTTATTCAGCACATTTTTGATTACTTTAAATTTTTTTTTGCCTATTATATGTTTTTCGAATTCTGAACTTTCGAAGCGAAACCGAATTTCTTTAAGTTTTTCAATAGCATCCTTTAAATCTTCAAGTAAATCTTTCAACGCTTCATGTCTTTCTTTGTCATTAGCAAGAAATCCTTCAAAATTTTGATATATTTCGTTTTCTTTAATAATTGCATTAGAATCGGAGCTAGTAACACTCAACCAAGCAGTAACCGATACAATAATACCTGGCACCAAAACAGGAGGTGCCAGTATTCCTGCGATAATCAAAGCGTTACCACCAAACAAAACGGAATGACCAAAAGTATTACTAGTAGATCGTATTTTCATATACCCTTTAACCATTTCTTTGCACTCTTTAATCATTTCAATTATCTGCTTACTAATGAAATCTTTTAAATAGTTGATAGTATTTTAAAATGATCATCAACGTTATTAATTGTGGCAGATTAAAATGAAATCGGATTAAAATGAAATTTTTCTATTTTTTTAGGAAAATTTAAAATTTTTTGG